AGAGCCCATTATCGGGCCTATTTCGTGGCGAAACGGCAATATTTCTCCAGCCGTATTGCTTCCTCAGAATGTCGTCCAGCAGAGCTGTTTCGGGTGGTTCGGGATCTTCTTCAATATGGAAATCCGGTGGAGGTCCCAGACTGCTCATCAGCTCACTGTGATGAGTTTGCCATTCATTTTGAGGGAGAAATCACTCAGATTCGCAGTGGGTTGGACTCCACCATTACTGCAAAATCAGAGGATGTATCCAGTGTGCCGTACTTAGGTCAAGTATTAATGGATGAGTTTCAATTGTTGAGACTTGAGGATGTGGACAGAGTGCTTGGATCTGTCTGTTCCACCACCACTCCGCTCGACCCATGCTCATCTTGGCTAATTGGAAGATCTGCCAGGGGGGTTCGCACCTGAGTCCAGGAGTCTGTGAATGCCTCTTTGAGAGAGGGAGTGGTCACTCCTTAAAAAGCCTAACCCGGTACTGGTTCTTAACCTTGGGTTATTCAGGAGTTTTGGACTGCAACTCCCAAAAGCCTTCACCACCAGCTGTCTTGACTGGGGTTTCTGGGAGTTGCAGTTCAAAAGCATCTGAGTAACAAAGGTTAAGAACCACTGATCTAGATGGTGCCCATCTTTGTTCTAGACTGGAAGAAGTGTTCAAAAGGCATTGTAGGTAAAAGGAAATTGGGTGCTTGGGGGCTTCCAGATACTACAGTGCACTTTAGAAGCATGTGAAAAACAGTTCAGCAACACAGTATGAAACATCTTCCCAAGATGTGAACATATTACTTATTTATAATGTTCAGAGTTGTATGAAAGACACAGTACTTCTATCAGTCTATTACTTTTTCTTTGAATTATAAGTCCCCCAGAACTATGTTATACATGAGGCAGGTGCCAAGCTACATCTAGGCTTGTAACATTGGTCTTTACCACTGTGCCAAGCTGCCCTAGGATTCTACCAGTATTCAAGACTACAGCACACTTGTTGTCACAAAATTAAATACAGTACTACAAAGTTATAACATTGTGATTCCAAGATCTTACTTCATTATACTAAGGAAACTTACATTTTGCCATACAGAAAGAACTGACACTTTACTAATGAACTCTGACCTCAGTCATGATTAGCCACAAACTTGTACCATTTTTTAATCTGAAATGGGAAGTTAGTTTGTTGTGTGTGATGGCCTTTTAAGGACTACTCTCACTACATTATGATATTTAAAGTTACATACCACAAGTTCTTCCTCTTCCTCCTAGAGAAACAAGAAATAAAGGATATATCGGTGTCTGGACAGCACAATGGAAACACATTTAGCAACTGCAAAGTAAATATCAATTTTGATTATCTGCTAAAATATAGCTTCTTTCATAAGACACATGCCATAGTAACTCAGTACAGTGACTTATTATTTAACCAAATATATTTCCTCACAATCATCTTTAAAACCAATATAAAACCCATACTTTGGCAACCTAAATCAAATAAATATGAAACATTCCACAGTGTTGTAAAAATCCATTGCCTCTTCCTTCCTTCTGGACCACCAAATTATGGCACAGTGAATAAAGCCTACAGAAGAGTTTTATCAGAAGCCACCTAGATATTCTGAGAACTGAGAAACAAGATGTAGTGAAGCAGGGGTAATAATCATTTGCCCCAACTCTCAGAACTATAATTTCCATTACCCCAAATGGGGCACATGCATGTTGGGAGTCCAGTAACATCTGGGGGAGCACTCACAGGTGCATCACTCTGAGGTGTTTGTGAAGTAAGTGGAACTCCCAGAATGGAGAATATTTATAGTATTTGTAGTCCAACAAATACAAAAATCCCACTCCTACAGAACAGTACTGTATATTGCATCCCTGCAGGAAAGACATCCACGAAATGATTACAACAGGCAACAACAATAAAAGTTCATAATCCAATTATTACAATATTGATACACAAGACGTTTCCCAGGCAGGCAAAAACATTAATCTCCAGTCATAGGCCACTCTAGACACTTCAAAAATAGGTGTCAAATAATATAAAATCAAATGCTACTATAAAATCTTTGACTATGCATTACCCATTTTCTGAGGTTTACCTCCCACTCTTTCCTGGGCCCTGGACTCGCCTACTGCGAGAAAGGCCTACTGACAGGGTAACCCGAATAAGGAAGCCCCTCTGGACACCCGTGGGGGTCTACTCTCCAGGAAGTGAGCACAGGATCGCAACCTCAGACCTTCTGGCTGGGCTCTCTTAACCTCAGAGTCCGGTTACGGAAGAGGAAGAGCAAGAACTCGGGGAACAAAACGAAGAACGCAGACAAGGGCCCCGCCATCAAACGGGAGGGGGTGGGGGAGAGAGAAAAAAATCAAGGCGTAAAAACCCTACACAACGGGGAAAGCACATTCCTTTCTCTCCCTGGGACGAAGAGAGCTCCGTTAGCTCACCTCAGGCTCGCCGCTCCCCCCTTCCAGCGCCTTCTCGTCCTGCCGCCCCATTTCAGCAAACCTCGTTCTGACTTGACTTAAGCTGCCGCAGAAGGACGCCGAAGGGTCACCCGCACGCTAAGCGGAAGTCCCGCCTCTCTAAAGCGCCTTTCCTCATGGACGCGAGGCTTCTTCCGGCCCTCTCAAGATGGCTCCCTTTACTCGAGCGGCCTGGGCTTGATAAGGCTCGTTCCTTCCGATTCACGCACGGCCCTACCAATATGGCCGCCAGTACGGCCAAAATAGTGCCGGAGGATGCCCGCTCGCGATCAGTGTGCCGCTACCTGCATAACAATGAGTGACCTTACCAAGATGGCGTAACTTAGCTGGCTTCCTTCAGAGTAGACCAGCCTTCTGAACGAGATGGAGACAAAGTCGGGGGAGGAGGAGGCCCGTGGTCGGCATCCCCTTAGCCTCTTTGAGCTGAGCGGGGTGGTAGTCAGCTCTGTCATGGGACGCGTGGAGAAAGAGGTTTGGGGTAAGGAAACGACCGGGCTGGGATCGGCCTTAATTCACTGTATAGGCTACGAAGCGGGGGCTCCTCCTTGTGGGCCGTGAGGGTGGACACCTCAGAGCGCCAGAGATCGCTGAGGTAGGGCTTCAAGATGCCGCTTCGTTTAAAGAGCTTCGTTGCCGTTCATAGCAGCAACACATATCCACAGAGGTTCCCATGTGGTCCCCAACCTTGGGCCTCCAGATGTTCTTGGACTTCAACTTCCAGAAATCCTGGCCAGCAGAGGTGGTGGCGAAGGATTCTGGGAGTTGTAGTCCAATAACATCTGGAGACCCAAGGTTGGGGACCAGTGCGGAAGGAGGGTGAAAAAGAGGAGACGCGTGCCTTGGAAAGAAGGGTTCTTACAGCCCGCGACACAGCAAGTGTTCGCAAATGCAGAGGAAATGGATCCGCCGGCAAACATGCCCAGCATTGTGCCATTGGTACAGGCGGGACGAGGACGGCGCAAGTCTTCAAATGTTGTTGGATTTCATCTGGGCTCATCTCTCACCGTTGACTATTCCGGCATGGGTTCAGCGACATCTGGGGCACCAAATGTTACCCTCCTGTGTTAAATATAAATGTTCTCTTATTTCCTCCTCCCAAACCTGAATGTTGGAGGACTCAGAGGCTTGTGTTTGTTAACAGCCCAGAAACCACAGTACTGTAGCTTCTGTTTTTAATAGGTGGCTGTTCCACTAAGTTTGCTCTTTACTTTTCCCCACCTGCATACTCTCTCTTCCACTAATCAGAATCTTTCACTTCAGTAGCCTAAACATGTGCTAAGACTCATCTGCCCTGTAAAGTAGAACTGAGGAACATATAATCTTCTAGATATTGATGATCTCTAGAGCACAATTGACATAGCAGAGAAGAACATTCCTATTAAGAGCTTTCAAAGAGAGCCAGGATGCTAGCAGACAGTGTTTTATTATGCAGTCCCCCACCACATTTACAGAATTTTTAATGGGTGAGTGGCTTATACAATGGCATATTTAATTGGTTAACCCCTCATTTGTTTTGCCACTTTTCCCCCCACATGTTTAATCTTGCCAGGAAAATAATGTGCTCAGGGAGAAAAGATAACTGCATGTTGTGCTTTCACTGAAGTGCTAAAAAAAACTGTTTCAAAGCACTCTTAGCTGTCATAGTTTCAATTTGTCTTTAATTCTGCGATCCCATTGTACACGACATATTAAAGAATCATGCAGATAGAAGTGAAAGCCTCAGAATATTTAGAGCAGAGCAAGATGTTAGGTATTCCACTCAAGACTTCAATCCTGGGAGTTAGAAAGCATCTAAAACAGCCCGACAGCAATCCATATAACTGTTCTTTCAATGTAACTGACATAAAGTTTTCTATTGATTTTTCCCACAAAAAAGCACTTCCAGGTCCAATCCTGAAGGGCATCTTGCCTCTGCTTAACATCTATTATCTGGAGCGAATTGAGGAGACAGCCATGAAAAAAGGTCAGTTATTTTGTGAGAGGTGCTAAAAGAAATACAACACTTAGCAGTTCTGTTTTTTGTTTCCTTTCAAAAATGTTATTTCCTTTATATCCTTCATAGTACAGTACAAATAATTCTTGTGATGAAGACCAACCACTGCTTTGTTAATTTCATTAAAGTGTCCATCCACTGAATAAAGAGGATTCCAATTGTGTTAAAGTGGACATGTTGAAAGGTCAATCCCACCAATTTTACTGGACTTACTCTCAAGGAAGCATTATAGAATTGCTGTCTGAGTCACTACAGTTACTGAGTTCCATTACACCTAAAAACTAGTTGAATTTAGTGAAATATATGTTAACATTTTGTCAAAGCCACTATAGAACTGCTGGGTACCTCAGTGGTTTAGGCATCTGGCTACAGAACCAGAGGATGGGAGTTCGATTCCCAACTGTACCTTCTTGACAAGGGACTGAACTGTACAGAAAGAGCTGTATTCAAGTTGTATATTGATAAAGGACTTACTTGGTAGGCTTGTACGAATGAAGAGCAAGAATGTTTTGGGCTGTCATAGCAGATGGTGTTATACCAGGACTCAAGGCACCTGTGTTCAAATCCCAACTTAGCCGATGAAACTCATGGGAAGATGGCAGTGGAAAAAAACACTCCTCAACATCTCTCATACCTCTAAAATTCTATTAGTGTCATCAGAATTTGAAAGTGATTGACAGTACATATCAAGAAGTTCTAAGTTTTTAAGAGGTAAACAACAAAAACTGAGGATTATTTGCACTGCTATGGCTTATGTGCTATTGGAACATGCATTAGTAATGGTGATCTGCAGCTTCAGTGTTTGTTTTAAACTTGAAACATAATTTTAATGGTGAATCTTAAAGTTTTTAGGATAGATGCTCCCATTGGACATGGAAATATTGCTTTATAGTAGAGTCCTGTACATATGTACTCAAAACTATGACTGAATTCATTGGGACTTACTGCCAAGTAAGTGAGTATAGGATTATAGGTTAAAGAATATTAAGTATGTACTTGTGGTGCAATCCGGTATATGACTACTGAAAAGAGGTAGTGTGGACGTAGCGCTATGGGGCGGTATATAAGTCCAATAAATAAATAAATAAATAAATAAATAAATAAATAAATAAATAAATAAATAAATAAATAAATAAATAAATAAATAAAAAGTATATCCCATTGAGGTCAATTAGATTTATTTTTTGGTATGTTTGTAATAAACTGTGTCTTATAAAAATTAATACATTTAAAACTATTATGTAGAAGACAACTATTTAACTGTTTTTGAACAGTTTACTATCTAATTCTACAGGACTCTCCACCCAGCCTATATGGTGCAAGCTCTGGTTTGATATCATGAAAACAAGACCTTCTAGATTAGAGGTGGGTAAAGATAAGCATCACAAAACTGACGTACCTGAGGAGACCAGGCTTCTCACCTTCATAGCTAATTTTGTCTTCAACCTGTGCCAGTTATGATGATGTTTTGAATCAATTTCCTCGATAACTTTTATTACAAATACAAATTTGTTTATCCGTCTGAAGATCCAGAGGTTGGGAGTTCAGTTCCCATTGTGTCTTCTAGGAGAACAGCCAGCCTGTGTAATCATGGGCAACCTGCACAGTCCCAGGGCTCTCCCTGAAGAATACAATGGAAAACCGCTTTGGACTATTCTATATCTAGAAAACCTGGAAAGGGCTGCCATAAGTCAAAATTGACTTGACAGCACCCTGTTATTACTGTCTCTGGAAAATTATGGTAAGAATGCAGTTGCAAACATCGCTGATGTTTGTGGAAGCTGCCGCCTGACTTGCCATGCCAAATTGTGCCTAATTGATGTGATGCCAGGGTGTGGCTTGATGGTGTGCCTGATTATGCACCCAGTTCTGCACCTGAGATTCAACCTGGTATCTCATCAATTAGGTGTGGAAAGTCACACAAACCTTACCAGTAGGATTCTGGCCTATGTCAGGAAATAAGTCTTTATATACAAAGTATGGTGTGGAGAATCCATAGCCCTTTTGATGTTTTCAGTCTCAGCTCCCCGAATCCTCAGTTTGCAAGACCAGCGTTAAGGAATTCTAAGAGCTAGAGTCCAAAAGGCACAGAGAGAGCCACATGTTCCCCAGCCAGGTTTGTTTAACTTGACACACTTAATTACAACTAACAGACAAGGTGCCGGTGCACATCTTGGTTGAACAATCAGATGCCAGACATGCAACTGGGATAGCTAGTTCAGTTCAGTTAGTTCAACAAACTACCCAAATGTTATTGTGATCACCAGTAGCCTTCTGGTAATTATTTTACAAAAAATGTGTTTTTGTTATTGTCATAAGAGACCATGAGACACATGACATTCTTGTAACATTTCTAGAAGGGCGATGTAAGATACATTATTATAGCAAAAATTATGGTTCAGTGGCATCTCAGGACTGACAAACCTTATACACTGTTTCCTACAGACCAAAGTCAAGAACCCTTGATAATGCTTATCAGCTGGACATATGAATTTATTTCGTACCCTGGCAGACAGATGCACAGGCATCACTATGGTTTTAAGCAGATTTTTTGCATTCTCTGTGTACCAGCTGAAACCATTCTTATATATTTTAAAATCTATGTTGCTTTCAGAGTAGAAGTTGTTCTGTGTAAAACTCCAAAAGAATAACATATAAAACACACTTACCATATTTTCCATTTATAAGATGCATGTGCCCTGCCCCCCCCCTTTTCTAACCCCCAAATTAAGAAATCTTAACTTTGAGTATTCAGCCTCTGGGCTCAGAATGCTTGGACATTATGAATTCCTGTTTTATCTGAGTGTACAGGCTCCACCTCCAATGAGGTATATTCCAATTCATTTGTTCAGCATCAGCTGATGTCAGTTCCATAAGGCTCCTGTTTGGAGAAAGCTAAGCCTCGTGATTGAAGGAAGTCTGTTTGCAGAGGCAAGGTATGGGCTGTTTTGTTTTCTCCTTGGCTTCTGTATATACAACACCTCTCAACTTTTAGTGTAATGATTTTAGGAAAAATTAGTGTCTTATACATGGAAAAATAAGGTAACTAAAATAACAGTACAAAATATTCTATATCTCAGGAGACCCTAAAGAAATTAGCAGGACTTAAAACTATAATTAAAGAAATGCAGCACTGTTACTTAGGTAAAATCCACCAGAAAATCCACTTATTTGAGACCTACTTATAATTACCCAGAGAGATCTGTGAAAGAACATTCTATAAAGATGAAAAATTAAGTATGACAGGAAAAAAAGGTAGCTATTCAGTATGTCCATCTTTGCTGAATGTGCATACTGTACCTCTTTACATTTTAGGAAATAAGTTTTAGTGGCCAAAATGTAGTAAATTGCAGTAGAGTTGGCCCATTGAATCAGTAAGAATGTGGTGAGTCAACTCCTCCATTAGTTCCCCTATTGCACATGGTTCTGCTCTAGTTGTGACTTACTTGAGTATAATTTCAACCCCTAAAAGCAGTTGGGTTTCCTCTATAGATCACACAGAAAAGATCATACTGTGTCGAGTATTTATGGTAATTTGGTTCTATTTGATTACAGAGCATCAAGTGTTGGAGGAAGAAATTCCTTGAAACGTTCTTCTCTAATGTGCTGCGTGGAATTTTGGATGTGTCTTCACACCAACGCCTGAATGACCCTTGCTTTTTGCCCTTGCTATACACTTCACAGCACGTTACCCAGCTCACCATCTATAACATGCTGGAGGGCATATCGGAACTCATGGCAGAACACAACCAGGATGTTCTAGACAGATTGGCTGTCTCACTCAAGTCCCTGACATTCCGTCACCTCCTCCCCACCACACAGTCTGCTAGACAACTGTTGAGTTTGTTTCTTCATCGCCTAATTCATCATGGGGCTGTGGACCACCTGTCTATGTACTCCTGGCCTGATCCTGACCCAGCACTTTTAACCCTTATTCTAAAAATGAGTGCTGGAGTTTGGCATCCTGGAAAAGTGCCAGTGAACCAGGAAACATGTTGCCATATGTGCAGAAAGAAATCTATTAATCAGAGCCTAGAGCTAGAGCATAAGCCTCTTTGGACTTCAAGCACACAGTTCCATAGTTCAGCAGCTGGCCAGTGTAGTGACAAAGATCTGAACAGTGAAAAAATGGTTCCTCTTGTCTCTCAAGAATCTATGGCAGGCTTTGAAAATGCTGTAGAGTTAGCCAGCATCAACTGTGAGACTCTGAAAGACCCAGTGGACTGTGGGTTGGGTTGCAGTTCTCCCCAAAGAAGGACACAACAAGCTACAAGTTCAGGAAGAGAACATGCTGATGTGGCATCTCTCAGCTGTTCCCTAAGTAAAATGTCCCAACATGATCCTTCTTTGAAAACACCACAGAAGAGGTGCAAGGCTACAACAGGGAAGAGCCACAGCTGTCGAAAGACTGGCAAAGCTCCTATAGACTCAGAAGATCTTTACGATTTTGTCTTTGCAGTTGGAAGAGAAAAACAGGAGAAAGCACTTTCTAACAAAAGGAAATTGGGGGCAGGAAAGAGTCCTGCTGACTGTTTCTCTGCCCCATCAGAGCTTGCCAGTGGTAGCAGTACACCTTGTGCAGCAGAAGCCCGACCAGTTGGGATCACCTCTCTGAAAAGTGCTGGCCATTTCCGAAGTGTGACCACACTGGAAGTATTCTCCATCCCTCTGACTAGGAATACATGCCAAATGCTTGGGAACCTGCTAAGCTCTTGGGTGTCTTTGGAGACGCTTGTTTTGACCTTGAATGGTCAGTCAGAATACAGCATTTGTCTTCAGTTCTGTTAAGCATGTTGTTTTACTACTGTGAAGCAGGAGTGGGGAATCCAGCCATCCAGATGTTGCTGGATTCAAGACTACCATCAGCCCAGTCAGCAGGGCCAGCCAGGGATAGTGAAAGATGTGGCTTGACAATATCTGGAGGGCTACAGATTCCTACTGCTGTTGTAATGGAGCGGTTATTATATATTTTGTGATTTGCACCTTTTGGGGTTGTTACAACACTTGTGTTAAGACAGGGTGCTTGCAACTTTCCCAAAGACTATTGAAAAGTGGGGAGATAGTGAAAAGGAATAGGGTTTTTCTCCATTTCAAAAAGGAAACCTTAGTTCAAATTGTCTGCTAGAAGTATGTCAGTGCTTTCAAGATGCCTTATTAAGCACAGGGGTTTGTATGCAGTGCTTAGGTTGTTCTGTGAGCAGCACAAACCAGTGTCAAATAATAGAATCTTTCCTACATGTCCTGTCACTAATTATATTGAGCCATAAAATCTCTCTTGTTTCTGATCATGGGAACGAAGCAGGACAAAGGCTAATAGAGTTTTGTCAAGAGAATAAGCTGGTCATCACAAACACTCTTTTCCAACAACACAAGAGGCGACTCTATACATGGAAATCACCAGATGGGCAATATCGAAATCAGATTGATTATATTCTCTGCAGCCAAAGATGGAGAAGCTCTATACAGTCAGCAAAAACAAGACCTGGAGCTGACTGCGGTTCTGATCATCAGCTTCTCATAGCAAAATTCAAGCTTAGACTGAAGAGATTAGGAAAAACCACTGGGCCACTCAGGTATAATCTAAACCAAATCCCTTATGAATACACAGTGGAAGTAAAGAACAGATTTAAGGAACTAGATTTGGTGGACAGAGTGCCTGAAGAACTTTGGATAGAGGCTCGTAACATTGTCCAGGAGGCAGCAACGAAAACCATCCCAAAGAAAAGGAAATGCAAGAAAGTAAAGTGGCTGTCCAACGAGGCCTTAGAAATAGCAGAGAGGAGAAGGGAAGCAAAATGCAAGGGAGATAGGGAAAGTTACAGAAACTTGAATTCAGACTTCCAAAGAATAGCAAGGAGAGACAAGAGGGCCTTCTTAAATGAACAATGCAAAGAAATAGAGGAAGATAACAGAAAAGGAAAGACCAGAGATCTGTTCAGGAAAATTGGACATATTAGAGGAACATTTTGCGCAAAGATGAACATGATAAAAGACAAAAATGGGAGGGACCTAACAGAAGCAGAAGACGTCAAGACGAGGTGGCAAGAATACACAGAGGAATTATATCGGAAAGATTTGGATATCCCGGACAATGCAGACAATGTAGTTGCTGACCTTGAGCCAGACATCCTGGAGAGTGAAGTCAAGTGGGCCTTAGAAAGCCTGGCTAACAACAAGGCCAGTGGAGGTGATGGCATTCCAGTTGAACTATTTAAAATCTTGAAAGATGATGCTGTTAAGGTGCTACATTCAATATGCCAGCAAGTTTGGAAAACTCAACAGTGGCCAGAGGATTGGAAAAGATCAGTCTACATCCCAATCCCAAAGAAAGGCAGTGCCAAAGAATGCTCCAACTACCGTACAATTGCACTCATTTCGCACGCTAGCAAGGTTATGCTCAAAATCCTGCAAGGTAGGCTTCAGCAGTATGTGGACCGAGAACTCCCAGAAGTACAAGCTGGATTCCGAAGAGGCAGAGGAACTCGAGACCAAATTGCTAACTTGCGCTGGATTATGGAGAAAGCCAGAGAGTTCCAGAAAAATATCTACTTCTGCTTCATTGACTATGCGAAAGCCTTTGACTGTGTGGACCACAGCAAACTATGGCAAGTTCTTAAAGAAATGGGAGTGCCTGACCACTTTATCTGTCTCCTGAGAAACCTATATGTGGGACAGGAAGCAACAGTTAGAACTGGTCATGGAACAACTGAGTGGTTCAAAATTGGGAAAGGAGTACGGCAAGGCTGTATATTGTCCCCCAGCTTATTTAACTTATATGCAGAATACATCATGCGGAAGGCTGGACTGGAAGAAACCCAAGCCGGAATTAAGATTGCCGGAAGAAATATCAACAACCTCCGATATGCAGATGATACCACTCTGATGGCAGAAAGTGAGGAGGAATTAAAGAACCTTGTAATGAGAGTGAAAGAGGAGAGCGAAAAAATGGTCTGAAACTCAACATCAAAAAAACTAAGATCATGGCCACTGGTCCCATCACCTCCTGGGAAATAGAAGGGGAAGATATGGAGGCAGTGTCAAATTTTATCTTCCTGGGCTCCATGCTCACTGCAGATGGAGACAGCAGCCCTGAAATTAAAAGGCGCCTTCTTCTTGGGAGGAAAGCGATGACAAATCTGGACAGCATCTTGAAAAGCAGAGACATCACCTTGCCAACAAAAGTCCGAATAGTCAAAGCTATGGTTTTTCCTGTCGTGATGTATGGAAGTGAGAGCTGGACCATAAAGAAAGCAGACCGCCGAAGAATTGATGCCTTTGAATTGTGGTGCTGGAGGAGGCTCTTGAGAATCCCCTGGACTGCAAGGAGCCATAAAATCTCTCTGACTGGTCAGAGAACTATCCAAGGGTTTCTTTGTTATAGATAGTATTAATTGATTACTTTTATACATGGTCACTAAAGCAGTAAATCTTATGTAGAATGAGGCATCTTGAGAGCACTTGTGTACTTAGGACACAGATTCACAAGGTCAACGAGTTAAAGTTAATCTGGCTGTGATACGGATGAAATTCAGCTTCAGAGTGTTAGAGAACATGGTGCTAAGAAACATTGTGGTCTCTGTACCTTCTCTGGGTAGCCTCTTGTATTCTAGTCCAAAATGGCTTGATATTGTATGTATAATATGCAGCTGCTGTGAGAAGATGAATACAGTGGTGCCCCGCATGACGAAAATAATCTGTTCCAGGAAAATTGCTGTTAAGCGAAATCGTCATGCGAAAAACAGTTCCCCATTGGAATGCATTGAAACCCATTTAATGCATTCCAATGGGGAAATTACCTCATCGTCCAGCGAAGATTGCCCATAGGGGAAGCCATTTTCCAAGCCCCGATCAGCTGTTAAAATGGCTGCTGTGCGAAGCATGGGTCCGGAAAACACAGGGCAGCCATTTTGTGGAGCCAGAAAAATCATCGTTTTGCGAACAAACGGTTTGCGAAGCAAGGACCTAATTATCGTCAAATGAAAATCCCCCATAGGAAACATTGTTTTGCTATTGCTGTAGCGATCGCAAAAAAGTCATCGTCATGCGATTTCATCGTTCTGCGGGGTCGTCGTCATGCAGGGCACCACTGTAGTTAGTTACTGATATAATAGTATTAAAACAAAATTGGTGTGAGGTCTTGGTGCTATCAGCCATAGTGAACATCTGGTGATTAGGATAGGAAGTGCATGAAGTTTTTTTGCTCCCGTGCCTACCATCGCTGTTGCCCTACGTATAAGGAACACTTCTTTATTAGTTGGGAAAATTCAACAGAGTATGACAGAGCCTTTAAGGTCTCCAGTGTTACAGTCTGTCAGATATAGCAACATTCTCTATTTATTTGTAGCTAGTATTTTTATTCTCTCTAAGTGTCCCACAGATTCAGGGATTATACTATTCAGTCATGTAAACCAAGTGGGTTTAGTTTTCAATTGCCTCTCATTGAAAAATACACAGGATCAGAAGCAGTGCATTTACTCCAGGTGAAATAGTCATTTTGTTCTCTATTTCTGCTTTCTAAAATCTGATTGCAGGCTTAGGCCTTGGTATCTTCAATATTCTCGCTGGACTCCGGGCTCTCTCTCGACACAGTGATTACTCTCTCCGTGTGGTGCGCATCAGTGACATGTTCTCACATGTCCCCTGTATGAATCTTGTCCATTCTTTCTTGCGTGCTGTTCCATTGCTTCAGACACTCTTGGTCAGCTTTGATCTCAAAACTGCACCAGAGTGGAACAGGTCAGAAGATAGCTGGGACATGTTATTCTTACAAGAAGAAATTCCAGGTAAAACTTTGTCCAGTTCCAGTCTGACATTATAATATGCTATTGTTCTGTATCTGAAGTTAGATTCCTATGACTGCTCTTATGGGCCTGGTCATTCCACAGTTTGAATGGTTCCTATGGCTGATGCTCTGTTCTATGCATGCCTTTACTCTAGAAATGAAATTGCAAAATTTGAATTAAAAGCAGACTTTGGAGTAAAATAAATAAACAGGCATTACTTTCTAAAAGTTGTCCTTGTTCTTGATATCAGGGAGAAATTCAAGAGTCCTCCATTTCTAGCCTGCCACCTGAGTAAAAACAAACCTCTTCAGAAAGTAGATGGAGCCATAGCTCAACTGTTCAGTGCAAACTTTATCTGCAGAAGATTCTACATCTGGCATCTCCTGTTCAGATAAAGAGTGGAGTAGCAGAAGCTACAGAAGCCATTTGCCCTTTAAATAGAGTATTGGGCAAAATGAGGAGTGGGTAGAGTGCAGGCCTCCATCTCTTACTGGACTGCTACTGCCAACGTTCTTCACAATTGATGCTCCCAGCTAGGGCTCCTGAGAATTGCTGTCCAACAATATCTGGAGGGCCACAATTTGCTTACCCTTGGGTTAAATGGACAAGTAGTCTGACCTTGCGTAGTTTAGCATCCTCTGGACCTAATACTAATGATTCACCGAAGAGTCATGTCCATTATATCCTACACTGGAATATTTTATTTTGAAATTAATTGAGTCAGTTTTGTGTAACACTTCAGCGGTCAACAAGTAGTAATACTAATACTTCTGGTATTTCTGTTTTCCTCAAAAATATTTCTCATGCTAGATTGCTTGTATTAAATAGTTATTTATGTATGCTTTATGTACTGAAGTGGGCACTGGTTCCATTCAAGTTATCTACATGTCTTAAAAGCCTTCTTTACAAGCATGTCTGTACTTGCACTCTCAAAAGCTGATACCATACCTTACCAATGAAGTACTTTGCTTCTGTACAATTTGCCCTGCCTGTGCAATGGAGAGCCAGTGTCTCCTATTTATTACACCTCTTGTAGGGGAGCACTTCACTGTTAGAGAGCACAGGTCTTGAAGCAGCCTGATTCTATGTCTCCTTCAAAAGACAGACAGTGTTTCAAGTCAGCTCTCCAAACTTTGCTCATACTGTTGTTTGCCAGTTTAAGCTAGTGAGCAAGATCTTTTTTTTTCTTGTTTCCATCTCCTATTTAGAGGGCAATCTGGAACAGCTTGAGATCAGATTTCCCAGGGAACCTCTTCAAACAAGTCACTTGGTGCCAGTGCTGAAAGCCTCAAGGTCCCTCCAGAGTCTCTCCTTAGACAGTGTTGCCATTTCCTGTCCACAAGAAGTTGGACTTCTCCTTCGTGCACTCAAAGGTAAGGCAGAGGCAATTTTACCTGCAGCACACAATTGGACAGTTCGTTAGTTGTAGCACCAGGTCATAATAACATTAGCATGTAGCCAGTTGAGCTTCCAGGATTATTGTATAGGTGGCATAGAAAACAATACAGATCCTAGAGTGGTCCTAGAACAGAAAAGTAGTACAGCACTTCAAGTCTTTCATCATTAGATCTTGTTGTATTACAGAATATAGCCCAAACCTGAAGAAGTTAAGCTTTCATGATGTCAACCTTTCTGGCCACTCAAAAGAAGTCCTCCTCCTCCTGCAGGACCCGGTCCTCCAAGGTATATTTAACTAATATCTGTTTATGCTCCAAAATGGTTACAGGTCTGCCAGTTGCAACTGTCACATACCATTTGCAAAGATGGTTCTGAAGAGGGTTGAAAGTTTCATAATCAGTTTCTCAGAGAATGTACAAGGCAGTACAGTGTGTGAATGGTATTATGGTTAGAGGGCTGGCCTGCGACTTTGAAGAGACAGGTTCTTGTCTGTGTGGAAGTTGCCAAGCTCAAGTTGGGAAATTCTGGTCAGTTCCTCCCCATCAGCCTCACAAGAGTCCGTGTGAGTAAAAAGTGAGGAGGATCCATCTGTACCAATTGTTCTGGGGTATAAATGCAACTAATAAAATAAAAACAATGATTTGGTGGAAGGAGAAGCTGAATTTTATTTCAAATGGCATTTTGTGCTCAGCCTTTTCCTGACTGGAGAATAGGGGTTTCACTGCTTCCCCAGAAAAACAAACCTAGTTCATTGTAGAGGAAAACTACTTAGCAGAGGGGAAAAGGATTATGGAAGAGCAAGCATATCGTTTAGAACAGCAGAAAGGAAAAGAAATGCCTTTATCCATTATAACCATAATTTAAAACAAGTCTGGCAGGGTATCATTATGCTTTTAATGTTTGGTTCTCACTTGTCTGCAGTGCATTCCATGGAATTAATTTCATTTAGCGAACCAAACAACGGGAAGGAGGAACATAATTATTTGTTCTTTGTCTTGTGACAGAAATCACCTTTTCTTTTTGTCGGCTGTTTGAAAAGTGTACCACGGATCTTTTTTCTGAAATAATCAATGTTGTGAAGAAAAACTCCTCATTGACGACTCTCAGAATCCCAGGGAATAGGCTGGGTATGTAAGGCAAATATGGCAGCCATCCTGGAATACTTTTTCTGTGTGTGAAAGGGTTGTATGGCACCAAGAATACAGGTGCTCTTGGTTTGATTAGTATGGCAGTTGCTGTTACTTTGTTTACCATCTTCCAAGACCAAATGACACAGAGGTATAACAAACAAGGAAGGCAAGAGGAGCAAAGAAAACATTACGAAATTTTAGGCACAAGCTATCACATAATGACTTCATGAAATGAACTGATGGTGGCAATAGTTTTAAGAAGAGGGAAAAATTATACATGGGGAGATTTAAGCTGATAAAGCCCCTTGTCTTTTTTCCCAGCCATGTGGGAATAAGCAGGTTCTACTTTTTATCAGAGAATTAGACTAACTGACTATGCCAGAAGGGCAGTCCTACCATTGAAGATGAGGCAGTTGGGTGACAGATGAGTCATGCTGTGAGGTAACAGCAGTTGCTACCCTTCTGCTATTTATCTCTGATACTTCAGTGTGTTCCATGGGGTCCACCCTGCACTTCTTCAAATGAACTGAACACCTACCCATCATGAGTGCGGGATTAGATTTAGATGCCAGGTTGTATAGAGAGAATTGAGGATGGAGGTAACATCTTGTCCTTTACTCCAGACAGTGCAAGAGTTTGGGACTGTGTCACATATACCGTATTTTTCGCTCCATAAGATGCACTCCCCCCCCAATAAAAGTGGGGTGAAAAGTGTGTGCATCTTATGAAGCGAATACACTTCTGCAAGGGCTGCCTCCAATGTCGGGGGAAAGGCCTTGGAGATCTCCTGGGGGTTGGATCGTGGCGGCGGGGGACCCCCAGGAGGTCTCCGATGGCTTCCTCCATTGGAGGAATCTCCTGTCCTTTCCCCCTGCCTTTTTGCCTTTGTGGCAGCGGGGGACCACCAGGAGGTCTCCAATGGCTTCCTCCAATCCATCAGAGACAAGCCTACTTGCTTGCACCTTGGTCGCCTTCATCTTCTTGCCAAAGCCCCCATGCAATCATCAAGTCCTTGCCTTCTTCATAAGATTAATTTTGAAAAGGAGTCCATCCTTCCATATTTTTCAGAAAAACAGAATGACCCTTGTTGTATTTCTTGCCATTCTTAATCAGAATTGAAGTAATGGGTTTCATCGTTTTCCTGCACTGTATAGATTCATTGCTTACTTCCTCCAATCCATCGGAGACCTCCTGGGGGTTCCCCGCTGCCACGATCCAACCCCCAGGAGGTCTCCAAGGGCCTTCCCCCGAAGGCAGACCTCCGAAGGCAAAAGCAGGGGGAAAGGGCTGGAAATTCAAATTTCCCACCCTTTCCCCCTGCGTTTTTTGCTTTCGGATGTCTCAAAGGACTTCCTCCCATGTTGGGGGGAAAGCCCTTGAAGCCCTCTGAAGGTGCCAATTGCCGCTGCGGGGACTCCCGTATTTTTCGCTCCATATTAGCTGTATCTTACCATCAGGTGCATCTTATGGAGTGAAAAATAAATCTGACTGTAGTTGCACTGGCAAGGTAAACTGCCCTGCCCTATTGCCTTTCTTGCAACTTTTTGGTGAAGAGATCATTCTCATACTGAACTGGGCAACCCACTAAGTTCTCCCCTTCTGGAAATCTAACCAGTTACCAAATGGGATCTTTTGTTCAATAAATTGTTACTGGCTGGAAACTTTGTAGGAACTTGATGCTAATTTACTCAGAACCAACAGATTATTGAGAGGCAGGGGATGGAGACATTTTTCTTGGTCCACAACCAGTTCCCACAATTTCTTTTCATTATTGTTCACACCAGATTGCTTTGTTATATTACTGATGGAAGTTAATACAGTGGTGCCCCGTTTCATAGTCCGTATAGCAATCCCGAAAAAGGGGATCGCTATATGGATTCATCGTTATACGGTGCGCTCGCTAAGCGAGGCACCACTGTACTCATCTTCTGTCATTCATAGCTTTATTTTCCCCATTCTTAGGAAATCATAGGTTGGTTGCACTGGCTGACATTTTTTCGGAAGATTCAGTCTGTTCCATCTGTCATCTAGATCTAAGGTATTTTTCATTTCTCTTAATCTCTCAGAAAAGCCAAATGAATTGAATTTATAGGAACTTTCCTTCTGCCCTAATAGTGGCAAAGATGTTATACCCACCTAGTAGGTTGATACTATAAGATACCTTGTCTGCAGGCTACCTAGATTCTTCGAGGCCTCCAGTGAATGGGCCTTATTTCTACTGTCCCTCTTCTACACCTCCTGCCAGTCCACTGAGTTAATGCTTTTATATATAAGTTGTTGATTCTGCACTACTAGTTTCTGAAGTTATTTATTAAATCTGTGAGATGCAGCTACTCCTGTGCGGACATCAGAAAATATTAAATCCTGTTTTCTGTCACAGACATACAGTGGTAAACTATTTGTAACTACCTTTCCAACCAGAGAAAAATGCACAAAATTAGTTTTCTATCATAGTAAGCTTTCTAGGCATAACAGCTATATGGGAGAGTAGTCTCATGTACAAGTTTGTTTATAAACTAATCTTTTCTTTTCCTACAGCTCCAACTGTATCAAACCTGATGGTCTCCTGGAGTTTGCCAAGAAGCTAGAGGGTTACATAGCACAATGCAGAGAACAAATCAAGTTTACCAAATTGTGCCTCTACCAGAACTGGCTGGACCAGGATGCTGCAACTGCCCAAGAGGCCCTTTGGCGACTAAAAGCCATATGCAGTGTGGTTAGTGACACATGGGATGCGTCTCAGGCCTTTGCTGACTATATCAGTGTGATGTAAAGAACACTTATGAGACAGTATATTGTAATAAAGCATCTTAGTGATCTACCAGGATTCAGATTCTTTCTGCTAGAGAGATGCAGTGGTTGCCGCCTTCATCTTAATGTTTCAACTCAAATATTTCCTTAACATGGCAAAAAGCAACAGCAGTACAAAAGGAGTGATTACTGTAGAACTTTCCCTTCACTATTGGTTAAATTTAGTTGTGTATAGAATTGTGAGCTCATTTTATAGGATACAAAATTTAGAAGATAAATTTGCTACTAGCAATTATTACCTACAGGATCGCTGAGAGTTAAGTGTTCTGCCATCAAATTGAATTCCTTTACACATAATTTGCCCCAGTAAAGGAGAATCCTAATGACCTCATAAATCTCACACTTACTCAACTAGTCTTTATTTATTTATTTATTTACAATATTTTTTAGCCGCACCATTGCGGTTAGTAAACTGTGAATAAAAAGCTGGACATAAAAAATAGAAATTTTCCTAACATTTTATTTTTGAAATAGTATGGAATCAATTTAGACAAAGGCTTACACCTTGTTTATGGAATTAAAATCCAAGTCCCATTATAATTTGTACTAAACATTTTAGGAACAAGTACTGTTTTGAGAAACTATCAGTTTTCCACTGATGAACTGAAGAGAGACTTTTTATGCATGTCTTCAGCATAGCAGTTTAAATTTCAGATCAAGCAAAATAGTCCAGAAGACCAATTCTAACATTAGTGAATAAAAATCCTTTGATCTTTAAAAAAATCGCACTGTATTCTTGTCCTAGAAGCCAGGTTTGACAAACCTAATTCACCTTCCTAATTAAAAAAAAAACCAGATCCCTCCTTGCTTCTGGAAAACAAAACCATTCCCTGTCAGATTTTCCAGCTGATGCTACAGTAAAACAAGTCCACTTATCTGCATCTTGTTGGCTTCATCTTACATTTATAGTCCATGTTCTTTCAAATAGGTGCCTTGTCTTGCTCCCTGACTCTTACATGTACTCTGTTCATGGCAATAGATTAGTTTTAAGCAAATTTACTTGTGACTGTAAGAGGAGACTTTAATGTTGTTTTCCAATATAATTGTGATCTAAAATTTTCCATAATAGACTAAAATCTGATGATGCAACATTAATTTGCAGTAATGAAATACATTAGAAAAAAAGTGAAGTTCACTAGAAAGGTTTTATGAGGTTATAATATCTGTTCAGGCTTTTCTTTGAAAACAATATTGTCAACAAAAGCGATCCATGTACAAGTCAGTATGATTCATAGTCTTCTTACACTGATGAGATTGCTTCATCTTTGGTCTTTTTCCTGCCAGAAAGGCTTAGTGAATGGACAGAAGAATCAACATCTATAAAAACCTGTATCCTAGTGCTCCATTGTATGGTCTGCCTTTTAAAGACAGTCTGTAGTAAATCATGCAGAAGATGGAAGTTCTTCTGGTACATTAATTGCAGAAAATGCTGTCCTGATGTCAATCAAATCACAAATATGGAGATACCACACAGCTGTTTTCTTATATAAATAGTGCAAGTTTTCAGATGAGAGAACAGATGGTCATGGTATCCCCCCTTGCTTCTCATGGGAATGATGATAAAAGGTGAAGCTGACAGCTGCATCCCAGGCAGCCTTGAGGACATTATCCAGGAGGCCACGTTTTTCAGCACAGTGGTTCCACTGAGACAGGTCAGAAGTGCAGTCAGACCCTTCTGGGGGTGGCCTGATTTGATGACCATTCACACAGCGACGACACTTGAACCTGCAACAAAGAACGTGTTGTACTGACAAAAGGGCAGAAGCTTTGCATAGCCTGACTCCAGACCATCATACCTGACCTAGGAATTTTTAGTCTTCATAACTAGAATATAGAATCTAAATGGATTAGAAGCAAGTTCTATTCCATCAAGCAAAACAGGCAAATATATCCATGATCTTAATGGAAGTCACATTCATCATTGGTGAAAAGGCCTATGCAAAACCTGATCTTCCAGAAAATAGAAATAAGACACCAGTTTTTATCCTTCCTGGTTCATAAAAGATGTGTTGTGCCTTTTCTTTGAATGTGGCAAGTCAACAGGACTGACTTGTACAATATACAGAAAAATAGACAACTACCCTGAGTAAATATACAAGCCCAAAGCCTTCGGCCAAGCAGAATGAGTAGACTACAAATATTGCTTCCTTTTTATAGGATTCATTTTATACTAGAGTGTTGTGAAGACCTTCAAACTTAATGGATAGTGGGAAACCTGCTCCACCCCATTTAATGAGCATCAACTAAGTGAAAGTTAACCAAATAGTATCCTGATGTATAGATGGGAACATCTGGATAGGGCATGCTTTGTTTTCAAAGAACTATTTCATGGATATTGTTCTCTTATATACCCAAATCTTTGCACACAATATAAAGTAGCTATGCAGTCACCCTGCCCCTGCCAAGACTTACTTGTCATGAGTATCACTTGTAGTCAACTCATTGAGAGTGAAAAGTTCCTTCAGTTCCCCAAGAGAAAAGTGTCTTTCCACATCCTGCTCTTCATCAACCACGCAGCTGCTGAGAGCCTTCTTGTGTGTCTGCCGCTGAAAAATTTTTTCTTCAATTGTCCCTGTCTAGAAGGAAACAAAATTAAGACTGATAACGGTGTTCCTGGAATATCTGAGGGCCTTTAAAGGCATTACATCTTATTCAACAGGAACAATTTTCACACTCTGCATGGCTGCAGCTGCAATTCTTGGTCAATGACTGTGGCATCCATTCCTCATCAGTTCACTGCCTTAGAATCTCCCTGAGCAGGAAACTGGACCATACCCTTAAAGTCTATGGAAGGAGGGAATGGTGTACCTATCAACTGAATTGCAGTATCATTTCTTAGCCAGAGTTAAGACTTCTGAAATAATATTAGGCTAATATTTATTAATTTTAAATGTGCAACTTTACCTGCTGAAGAGTCCTGGATTTAAGGCAATTCATTATGTCTTTTTTTATTATAAGGAAGGATCATGAATAACAAGACAGACTCTTGGCTAAGCAGGAGTCCAGCACAGACTATGCTTACTCCCCAAAGGCAGAAACAGAGGAAGGATTGACTTATTCCCCTTCTTTCTCATGCAAGAACAGCAAAATATTGGTTCTAACCAATGTACCCTCTAATTTTCAGCCCTGCTAGGCAGGTCTCTGCCTCTCTCACATGTGACTTTGCCCTGTGTGCGCAAGGGTTCTGTCATGACTGGAACCAAAGGAGTTGAACATGATTCCTGCACAAAGGAGGAAGAAAGCTGCGTGGAGGGAGGCGCAGTCACACACGCACATTGCTTAGAGGGAACCTTGGTTCCAACATTAAACAGCGTTGGGCAGTTAGGAATCCTCACAGCATTCAGATCTGCCTACTTCTTCTAAACAAGTGTTATTTTATAAAGATTGGAGGCTAGACCTAACTGAACGAACTCTTGTTATCAGTGGAATTTACATAAATGTTGGCTCAACAAGCCCCATCCATTCAACAGATCTGCATTAGTTTGGATTACCAAGTGGATTTAGCCCTTAGGAACATGGATATAATTTATCTGGTTAAATTTTCCCTTCACATCCTGCTTAAATATTTGGTAGAAGTGAACAGTAGCAATCAAGTTTGCAAAAGCCAGCTTGGGTCTTACCGAGAGCAAACGATAGATGTAGCAAGTCTTTTTCTGCCCATCTCTCCATACACGGGCCATGGCTTGTTCGTCATTGGCTGGATTCCAGTCTGGATCAAACATCACAAGTCTGTTTGCCCCAATCAGATTTAAGCCACAGCCACCAGCTTTGCTGCTCAGCATGAAAATGAACTCAGGGCTCTGTTAAGACAAGACAAACTGAAATTAAATGCTACACTCAAATGATGAGACTGACTCACGTACATGCAGTTTTGTGGTTGGGTATACTTCAGAGTTAACTGCCTTGCTTTTAAAGCAGGAGTAATAAGCAGCAGAGCCACAGGTTGACAGATATTCCATACCTTCCAGCTTTCTGCTGGAAATCATTACAAACCCTCCATACATACAGCCAAGAAAACTGATATTGTTTTTGACTGTGTAAACATAAACCTGAAATACAGGGAATATCATATAAAAGCTAACATGTAGACTGAAAAACTATTCACTGGTGAGAACATTCCCTGTAAAAACAGCTTATTTAGGTGTATACACATGTACACAGTTCTTTTTTGTGGCTAGAATGTGACTGAATCACTTAACTATGGAAGTGTTTACACATGGAGGGTATACGGCTATGGGATTACTGAGGTAGTTTCATAAAAATATATTGGACAGGCATACTTGAAAATATTTTCCTATGAACATGATTGTTGCTTTATAGCCAACAATTCAGCTTAAAGAAAAAAAGTACCAATTTTTACCTGGCTTTAAGTGGCATTACTTACAGATATGTTGTTGAAACGCTCCACTATCTTCGCTCTCTTTTTAATTGACATAGTGCCATCCAAACGAACATACAAATACCTGGCACAAATAATGCACAACAAATTAAAGGTAAACATATCCTTCAAAAATGTAGGATTTCATCCTTCACACATGAAAAGATGGTCCTAGACCCATGAGATAAATGAAACCTGTGACATCTCTTCTAGTTGGGATTAGCAACCAGGTTTGGCCCATCTCCTTTGCTCTACCCTCCTTCCCCACCTCAAACACATGCCAATGTATCCAAGTCATCATACCTCCTAACTCGGCAAAGTTTCTCAAAGAGATCCAGTGTCTGGGTGTAATTAGACACTAAAACTACTTTATCATTACTGGTGCTCCTAGTAACTGCCAGAATGTAGTCCAAAACCAGCATCTTCCCTAGAACAAAACAAACAAACAAACAAACAAAAAACAGCAGCATACATGTCAGTGCTGAAAAATCAAAGTTCAGCATGGAAGTTCCCATGCCAGCATACAGATTGATTTCGTAGTAATGTTTACCTGACAGCTGTGGTTCTAGGGTCTTGATGCTGTAGCCAGGAGGAAACAACTGCAGCGCACCCACAAACCCTTCTTCCTCCTCCACACACTTGTCATAGATCAGGGCAGGGTCTGGAAAAAGTTCAGAATTCATTGCACGGAACTGGAGTTAGCAGTACTGTATTTTGAACACATCTCTGACTGCTAGACAGCCCAGTGGTTTAGGCATCTGGCTACAGAGAGAGGTTGGGAGTTCCATTCCCCACTGTGTCCCCTTGATCAAGGCTGGACTCGATGATCCATTGGGTCCTTTCCAGCTTTGCAGTTCTAAGATAATGATGGTAATCTGAATAGCTTAAATAATGGAACATCCTGTTCTGTATTTTATATGCTGGGTCAAATATCTGGTAACTACAACTCTATAGCAGGACTGGGTAATTCGAGCAGGGCTGAGGACCATTTTTTTTTGGTTCTGATGGCAGCCCACGGTCATACTTCCAAGGGTGTAAGGCTAAAGATGAAGGGGTATGGTCAAGGACGCTACTATGCATACATATCTTTTTAATTTTAATCTGGCTTTTTTACTACATAACTGTCCTAATTCTTTTGCATAACACAGCAAGGAACAGACTGAAACTTGTTACTTTGCTTACCTTATGCAACAAGATTTTGGCCAAGGTAATATAAAGCCATGTTTTAGAATACTTACAGCAAACAGACCAAATAGCCAATTCATGCAAAATAGGGCCAGAAATAATCAAAATTAGACCAGACATGACTAACTGGCATATTTACAATACCATTTTATATGCTATTTTAACGTGTTTTAATTTATGTAAGCCGCCCCGAGTAGACGCTGTCTAGAGGGGCGGGGTAAAAATTGAATGAATGAATGAATAAATAAATAGGCATTGCCAGAACCCCCTGAAAAAGTTGTTTAACTAAGAAACTTTGGAGTTTCAAGTGAAAAATCTTAACTGCACCCACTAATGCCATCAAAACATGCCACATTTGCTCTCTCCACACCTCCCAGGGGCCACAAGGGCAGCCACTGTCATGAAATGTAGCTATTACTCGCAAGGTGTTTTAAGTATACCATGTTATGATCAGCACTCGCTGTAACCAACATCCACCTTCAGATATCAAACTTTTCAAGGACAGCTATTTATCTTTATGATAGCATCCTGCAACATATTCTGGGCCCTTGGGATTGGGCACAGTACAATAAACAAACTGATAGAACTACTTACGATTACAGAGCTTCTTCAGAGATGTGATTGAAGAGAGAGATGAGACACTGATTTTCCCCTCCTTCAGATCTTCAGCTGGTTTTGCTTGCTTCAGGAAGCGTTTGTACAGCTCTGACTGAAGAGGAGTCAACCTGAGGTGAAACGAGATACTAATCATGTTATGATCTCCGAACAGTGGACCAGTCTAAAACCTGGAGCACTATCTTATCAATGGTGAATTAAGGCCAAAAGAACATACAAACTAGTTCAAAAAAATGATGAATTATTTCTGCTACCCTTTCTCTTCAGAGTCCACTAGGAAAGTTCTTACTTTCTTTAATGCTGTACCTGCAACACACCACCTGTTCAATTTTCACTGGGAGATATTTAGAGAGAATATCAGAAGTCCTCCTTATAAGGCATCTACAAAACACAAAAATGAAATAAGGTTAATGCTGCCTGCAAACATAACAAACTCATGACCAGGTCCCAGCAGTCTTTCTCCTCCTGTCTAACAGAGAAAACTTTCAATTATAAATCTATAACCTTTGAACAGTACAAGTTAAAAGCCCCCCTTTTTTCACTTCTTCACAAAAGAAGAAAAATCTTTTTAGGCTCAGTTGCCATCAATAGGTTAGCATCAATTTTAACATAAACAAAATGAACAAAATTCATTAACTGATCAAAACATTTAAGGGAATGAAGTTAACAAACCAGCAACAATTAGTGGAACTCAAAGGGGAAAATCAGTTTGTTAAATTTGAAGATAAACTATACACAGCTAATGTAGATTTCAGATGGTGTTTTCAAGATTAATGGACTGCATTTTTACCATTGTTGGAGGGAATTTGGGTTATGATCTAAATGAATAGTGAACTAAGAAGTTTCTAGGGCCAAATCCACAATACAACTTAAGGAGCTGCACTGAGAAAAACAAAGTACACTTAAAATGTTAAAAGTTTCTGAATTTCACCTGTTGACAATGCTGATCAGTTCTTTCAGCCTCTCCTCTCCTTTATGTCTTTCTGATTCACTTGCATCTGCATCCCTGCCTTTCAGGATAGGAATTTCAAAGTGCTTCTTGAACTCCTGGGCTGTCCCTACCCAAAAACAGAAGGCATGCATATTTTTGGAAACAAATTTCTACCACTTAGTAGATGACCCCAGTAGAAACATACAATGCAGACTCCTGGGCCAGAATTATGAGTTCAGTGTATAACATAGCAGAAGGTAGTGCTTTCCAAAGAAAGCAAAGACTTCCCACAAGGAAGAGCAAGGGTACGCTACTTGGTGCCCTCCACACATTTTTGGACTATGGCTGTCAGAATCACTGACCTTTGATCTAGTGGCTGAGGCTCATGGTAGCTCTAGTGGAAAATGTGACAAGAGGACCAAAATGCCTTCTCTCAATCAAGATTATTCCCTGTTTTCCAGGACATTTTGATTAGCCAAGGTCTTCCACTAAAATTGCTAATCATTAGTGGGCTATATCATAGGAAGGTACAGAACTGAGTACATGGAGCAATTTGAGAAACATTGACAACCAAAAAATACTCTTTGCCAAGTCCAGAGACAATACTAATAATTAGAAAGCCAACTTGCTGACTTTAGACTATTATGCTGGTGAAAAATACCTACCTAGGATGCCAGAATTGACAAAATGTACAAGACTAAAATATTCAAGGAGGTCATTCTGAATGGGGGTTCCTGAAATGAGTACCCGCCGAGATGTGTTCAAGCTGTTGAGAGCCTGATAGGTCTGGTTGTCTGAATTCTTGAGCCTGTGACCCTGGAAAATAAGTTTATTTACAAAAAGAATGCATATAGTGCTTGAGATATATGTATGCAGAATCAGATAATATTCATATAAACTGAAGGATGTGATAGAGATAGACATTACATTACACATTAACAAAATAAGAAATTGATAGTTACTTATTGTAATGGTGGCTAAATATTGGAAGCAATGAACACTTGAAGTGAATCAGAGAAGGGAGAAGTTCAGATTTGCTTGAGTCTTAGCTATCAGATGGAGATCATTCACCTTGGTGGATGATCTACACCAAAAGCTGGACAATCCAAGTGTGTCCCTGTTGGTTCTGCTGCACCTCTCAGCAGTTTTTCATACAATTAAAACAGTATTCATCTTGGTTGCCACTCTGGGATGAAGTTTTCTAGATACTGTTAAGCTGTGGCTCTGGTCCTTACTGAAGAGGGGACAGTTAACCAACTGCATTTCAGTTTCCTGGTTAAAAGCAACCAGTACAGGTATTATAAGAACCACTGCTCTAGATCACTGGTTCTTAACCTTGGGTTACTCAGGAGTTTTGGACTGCAACTCCCAGAAGCCTTCACCACCAGCTGTGCTGGCTGGGGTTTCTGGGAGTTGCAGGTCAAAAATTTATTTATTTATTTATTTATTTATTTATTTGATTTGTATCCCGCCCATCTGGTAACTCGGTACCACTCTGAGCGGCTAACATAAAAATATACAGTTATAATAACATAAATCCAAAATATCAAAATATCAAAAAACATCCGAGTAACAAAGGTTAAGAACCACTGGTCTAGATAAATACATGTCCCTCGGGCATTCAACACATCTATTACAATCTCAATCCACTGGGGGCCGCTAGTGCTCAACAGCATCCTAAAAGGCAGCATCCAGCAGGGAAAGCAGTGTGCTTAGAAAGAATTGTACTCCTCACAGAAAAGCGAGGTTTTCTTCCTAAAGCATTAAAGAAGAAAATCTTTGATTCCAATCCCTGCTCTTCAGTGTTAAAGATCTCTTTCTGTTTTCTTCAAAATAGCAAGTGTATAAATGAGAAAACAAATTCAAAGATAAATCTGTTCTCTCAGCCATTATATATGGTCCAAAAGAACAGTAAACTAAGGGGTTTCTAGAACTCTAAAATTTCCAAGTATCCAAGAAGAACCTTTCCTTGGTGCAATGGCAAGACAGTTAGCATTGGCCATATTTTGGTTAAGGACTTGGCTTTGCTCTTTTGGATTTTTGGACTTCCTCAAGAATTCCAGAAATGGCAGTCCAGAAACCAAAATCAGTGCAACCAACACCCATAGAGAAGGGCTTCCAAATGATTTATTTACGCCATCAGCTCCTCTTGCTTCTTATTGTTGGTTTGTAAACAAGCAAACAAGCAAACAAACTATTGTAGTGCTTACTGGGAGAGAGAGTCTCACTACCCATTAGGCTCTATGGAGGCCCCCTTTAAAAAAACAAAAACACAACAAACAATGATACCCAGAAAGCATGGGAGCAGATTTTTTGGAAAAAACAAACACATCAGTGCCAAGAAACAGGAAGGCCAAAAGTGCAAATAAATCACTTAAAAGCCCTTCTGGGGGTGGGGGAGTTGGACTTATAGGTGCGTTGATTTTCAATTCTAGGACTCAATTCCCAGAATTCTTGGAGGATTCCCATGCCCTCAGACCTTGCCCATCCTTGATTTAAAGGATATGATTGATGGCTTATTTGCAAATCACGATCTGTGGATTGGGACTCCCAGCCATTTCAGAGTGAACTGCCACCCACACAGATCATAGACCACCCCTAGGATTAGAAAATGTTTGGATATGTGTATGGAGTGTCTACAGTAAATCAAACAAATTTCTGTGAATTAACTGCAATGAGTATAATAAAAAAACATAATTATCTCTATAGAGAATAGACATCTCTGAGAGAATGGTACTGAGAATGGAGCTAAACACTGCTGGCCAGACTTACCACACATGTTTAAAGACACAACAATAACTGAAATTGCCTTCTACACACCTCATCACATATGACCATCCCAACACTCCCTTTCTGGAGAACTTCAGCATGAAGGCGAAATGTTTCATAGGAAATTATCAGGATAGGACTTGGGATTCTAAGGCCCCTCTGGTTCATAAATCCAGCTGTTAAAAGAAAAATATGGCAAAGAGGAAAATATGAATGACGTGTACAGTATTAGGAAGCCATAAACGAGACAAGAACCCATTTATGCAAAATGATGCATCCAACAATACAAATAGGACTAGATAATTCATTTTGCTTCTGTATTCATCAAGAAAAGTTGTTCTACTTTATTGTTTCTTCTGCATTTTGACACAGCAGTTTACATATCCAAAGTCTCTATTATTTCCAGCCCAGCTGCCTCAAACAACTCAACAAACCCATGGCTCAGTTGGGACAAAGATTCTAGGCCATCTTAGGCCAATGAACTAAACACCAGTTCCTTGGGCTTCTCTGCACTCTGCTTCCTTACTCACTGGGGTGGTTCCACACTTTATTATATTAGGGACCAATGCATTAAAATCAATGGGACAAATTACAACTAAATTACTTCTCAATTATTTAAATGCTTTCATTCTCAGCATGACTAAGTCTGGATCCAATTCATACTCCTTTGCTATCTCTACTCTTTCTTCCTCTATTTACAGTCATTAAAACCTTTCATCAAATTATACAATATGAATCACAAGAATGAACATAGCCTGCTAAAAATGTGATCATGGTGTTAATTTAATGTGAAGCTATTCAGCAACTCAGCTAATGTGCCCTTGCTTATCAGTAATACATTTTTAAAACAACACACATTGTACAGACTTCATACCTAGCTTATTGTCTATTTCATCCTTAGAGCCTCCATCAATAGCCAAGGGCTGGATCCTTCCGCCAAGCCATTTACCTACTTCGTTGTACCAATTTTTCACCAGGCTGGAAGGCGAAACTACTACGGCCTTGTCAATTTCAGGCTTGCAATCTGGACTTTGTCGTAAGAGTGTCCACATCAAAGTGATGCACTGCAGCGTCTTGCCCAAACCCATTTCATCAGCCATGATGCAGCCATGACTTCCAGGGATACGGCGGCCTGTCACACACTCCCACAGGAACTTCACTCCCTGAGCAAAACAGAAAGAGGGACTCTAAGCTATACAGCTTAAATCACAGAACCCAAATATCTGTCATTTGCAGCATCAGTGAGCAATCAACATATACCTTGAAGCATTTTTTAAGCCAGTGGAATATCACTAACAGAACTTAAGTTTATTCAAAAACATTTTCAAATGTTCAAAATAAAGCACCCATGTGAACAGAGACTAGGTGCAAGGGAAGCCATGGGTATCCAGTCATAACAACATTGAATTATTCTGCCGCCAGCTCTTCCTCCAAGCAGAGAAAAATGAGGCAACAACATCTAGAAAGAGAAAAAATCACTCAGAAAAAATGCACCATCATGATGAAGGTTCCCATAACAGCCAATAGTGACATTTACTACAGTTTGGACATAAGAATTCATCTCTGACAAAGGCTAACTGTAGCCAAGACAAAAACTACGGTACCAAGGATTCTGCCTGGCTTTACCCAGCAGGGGAATGCAGATGAGAGTCTCTTAAACAGCAAGTTCACAAAAGCAACAGCAGCACAACAACCACTATTTCATATCTCTCAGCACTCACCTCTCTCTGATGGGGCCGTAAAACACGACTGAGAACAGGATCCACTACAACGTGAACAGGTATTTTGTCCCTTCAGGAAGCAAACAGAAGATGGCTCTTATTAAAGCAATATTCTCAGGGAGGATACAAGCAAATATACCACTCTGTTTCATGAGAAAAGGGCTCTCATAATCTGGTTATTGACACCTTCAAGATTAAGAAACCACTGCTTACAACAAAAGGCAAAGATGTTTTGGCTAAATCCATAGGCAATCATCCAGCAACAAATTATTGTTGCATTTAATTCAGCAATTAACATGCACTTAAGCCCCTCTGTCGTGTTTCCCCGAAAATAAAGACAGGGTCTTATATTAATTTTTGCTCCAAAAAAAACACATTAGGGCTTATTTTCAGGATATTTTTTTTCATGTACAACAATCTACATTTATTCAAATACAGTCATGTCATCTTCTAGTTACTGCACAATGGTGGAGGGCAGGGTTTCCTTGAACTAGGGCTTATTTATGGGGTAGGGCTTATATTATGACCATCCTGAAAAATCATACTAGGGCTTATTTTCAGGTTAGGTCTTATTTTTGGGGAAACAGGGTAGTTCCAAAAAGACAGCCCACTTCTGCAAATTTACCATACTCTCTTTCATTCAGTAATCTGAATCAGTCACCCTGAACAAATCTTTAGTCCAAGATTGCATGGAAAAAGAAACTTCAAAAGGATGTAGCAAGAGTGTGGTCCACTTCAGTCTGCATTGTTGGAGATGCATATGCTAAGCAGCTCTAATGCTAAATATTGATTTATACCAGATCTGCTTGCCAGTTCTGAGACCTGAAGATCTAATGCAAAGTCTAATCCAGAATCACAATAGAGCTCCATAAGCAAAATAACACACACAAAAAGAGAAAACAGATGTAAATGACTAAAAAGAATTTTCTGGAGAGGTGGGGAGATTAATGGGGACAACTCACTTGTCAAGTTTAAGCTGATCATGGGCACTCAGAGGTGGAGGTTCGTACAGCACCAGAGCACCTTCTTCAAAAGGGTCGTGAAGAGCATGCCTCACCCCTGCACGTTTGATACCCAGCGCCCGTAAGCCCAAGGAGCCTAAAATATTGCACAAAGAAAGCAATGTTAACTTTTTTCCTCCTGTTTATGCAATACTGTCAAATATGAGACAGGGACGCTGAAGCAAAGTACTGTGTCTGAAAGATAACACCCCATAACAGACAGATTATGAAATCATATTAATTCTGGTCTATCACTTATTTCAACAGCTTCATGAGACTATGCATTAAGACAGGGAGCAGAAGGAGCAAAATAATTATTTCTAATATAGTCTGTAAAGACAGCAGTTCTTTGGCTGTGAAAAAGAAAAAGGAAAGCAGCCTGTAGCTGTGCCAACAACAGTGTCTTCCTATAGGTGATGAGATGGGGTTTCCAGATGCTAGTGATCTGGAAAGATTTCCAGTTTTCTAAATAGAACATATCCTGATTTAATACACTTATTTGATTTCTGTTTATTGTACAAAGTTTTTAAATGTCTCAGCAACCTATGGGTATTTGAACTGAAACATCTGGTACAGATGTTAGAACATCAGCCTAGAACCGGGGAAACCTGGGTTGAAAGACCTCAGCCACAAAGCTCACTATTTAGGGGACCTTGATACCTGTCAGAGCGCCTTCTTCCACCTAATTCTACCCGTGTCACTCGTTCTAGCCAGGCTTGACGGCTGAGGGGCTTAACTCCAAGAGAAGCCCAGAAGGAAAAAACTAGAAACCGGGCCTTCTCGGTGGTGGCCTCTGGGACATCCTCCCTCCTGAGATCCACCTGGCTCCCTCACTGGGAGTTTTAAAGAGTAAACTGAAGACCTGGCTCTTCAGTCAGGCCTTCCCTCTTGCCATTACTTACTGTATTTTTCGCTCCATAAGACGCACTTTTTCTCTCCAAAAAGGTGGGAGGTAAAATACATGTGTCTTATAGAGTGAATGCAGTAACCTAGGGCTCAGCCGCCACCACCACCCAAAAGCCTCCCACTACCATGCTGGGAGGCCTCTGAACTGGCAGCAAAGACTGCTTTCTGTTTGGACCTCACCATTCTGCACTGCTAGCTTTCCAGGATCTGCTTCCTGCAGCCCACCTGGAAAACCAGCAAGGAAAACAGACCTATGGCAGCAAGCAATGAAAATAGCAAAGGACCAAAGGGTGGTTCTAGAAAGACCAAGGGAAGCCACAAACACAATCTCCCACTTAGGCAGTAGATGAGCCTTACCCTGGGAAATCCACTTTTACAACAATGGTATCTCCCCTGCCAGGTCTGAGTTTAAATAGCCCCAAGCCTCCTGGCCCTTTGTGTGCACTATCCCCCAAAGGCATGGTGACCGCCGGCTGTACCTCCTGATCAGAACAGTGCTGCACAGCCCCAGTCCTGAAAGAGGCCAGGAGAGCTACTCAGTGTTTTGGGGTGCCCCACAGGACCCCCATCAGGGGCTAGATGTTCCTCCCACAATCCTCCAGTGCACAGATATTAGCATATTTGCCTGCTTGCATCACCCAGTAGGCTTCTCTATTGGAGAAGCTCTGTAGTTCAGAGCTTGGTAGTAAGCTGCATCACTTCCCCACAAATTAAGCCTAAATAGAAGTAATTTTGCAGATATTTAAAACATTAAGGGACCTGGGGGGGAGGCTAATGTGTATTGTTAGCCAAATTTCATTCTGAAGCACAGAATGATTAAAAAGGCACTGAGCACATGCAGAATAAAGTTCAAAAGGGAAACTAAAAGGGACCTAACACTCCTTTCCTTAATATATTACCACTAGGGCTACAGGTTTTATTTGGTGTATTAGCTTGCCACAGTTTTTATGGACTCATCAGGAGTAAGGCAATTTGAATTGCAGAGGGCAGATCTGAATCACAGATCTGAATATGTCCAAGTAAAGCTTTGAAATCTTGAAAATTGGTTTAAGAACCCAACATTTCATAAATAGCATTTCACACGTACACACACACAACTGGAAACAGAAATTTTAGTACTATTTTTGTGTTAATAAAAGCTGCATGGTGTCACTCCCCCTGTTTTTATTGGTTTTTCTTAATCATTGTTGTTCTACAATATTGCTGGTAGATTTTATCTTTTCATTGTGATTCCCAGCTACTGTATTTTATCCTATTGTAGTCTCTAAAATTGGACAACCATCTGTCAGATCTGCTCTGATTTGGATTCCTGCATTGAACCAGGGGTTGGAATTGATGGCCTTACAGTATAGGCCTCTTCCAACTCCATTATTCTATGATTCTGTGCTGCTTTGAGATTATATTTGTAAAAGGAAGCAGGCAGTAGATGTGGTGATGAATAAGGGGCACATTTTTCTTGCAGAGTATGGGAACTCATTCTACCAGTGCAAGGATGATAAAGCAGAAAAGGCTAGCATATAACATTCCTTTTAAACTAGAGGTAGTAAAATATGCTAAGGAGTATGGAAACAGTGAACAGTGCAGAGACATTTTGGGCCTCCTCATCTGAAAAAATGATTAGAGAGTGGAGGAAACAGGAGGATCAGCTGCAAAAAGCTGATAAAAGTAAGCACACTTTCTGTGGACATGCTGCATGCTGCAAAGTAAAGAACTGAATGATGGAGAGAGAAAAAACTTTATTGCTGTAAGGAAGGAAGGGAGGAAGGGAGGGAGTGGAAGTGAGGCATGCTTTGCTGTTTGCTTACACCTGTGCTGGTGGTGATTTCTTCATCATAGCTCTTATTGACTACCCAGCAACAATCTGTTTATTCATCTCTTTCAGTGCAATAACAATTCATTATAAGTGTTAAAACTTGAGATGGTACTGTAATTCCCACTCATTGTGTGTCATCCTGCTGTAGAAGTCTGCTTCATGATTCTCCACTTCTGGTACATGTATGACTTGTGAAATGACATGCTTGAGAATACACCAGTCCCAAAACTGTACTGTTAGTAGCAAGAAAGACATGGATTTTGTTCCTCCTTGGTGGTTGATATAAAGCATTGTAGTGTTGTTGTCTGTGGCTATTGGAATAACTTTGCCAACTACAAATTGTTCAAAAGCTCTCACTGTGTTGTACACTGCAAGAAGTTTGAGGTAATTGATGTGACAACATCTATCTATTGCCTTATGAATTTGCCAGAATATTTTTTTTCCGGTTTTCCTCTCCTAAAAATGAGGTGCGTCTTATTTGGAGGTGCGTCTTATGGAGCGAAAAATACAGTAATTTCTTCTCCTGGTTTTTCCATCTTGGATCATACTGGCTTGTTTTAGCCTTTTTATTGATAATTTTAACTTCGTTGCCTTTTTTGGACTGTAAACTGCCCAAAGTAGATTCGTCTAGATGGGCGGTATAAAAGCCAAATAAATAAATTCTAGTCTAAATGCATCCAAATCTTAACAAGAAAGTCAGTATAGGGTAGACTTTTGAATCTTGCAAGGTTCTTGTGGAAAACATCCCCAGCTCAAGCAAAGACATAATTCTCAGTGTCCATGCTGACAGTAAACAAAAATGAATCCCAGTTTTAATTTAGAGTTGATCTAGACAACTAAAAGTTGAATTCATGCAGTGATGTTGGGCTAGATTATTATTTGTGGGGTATTTTTAGCTGATTCCAAATCAATTAAACAAGTATGTTTAAACAAGTATTTATTGTTGCCAATAAATTTTATGAAACCCTGTCTGAGATCCTGTTGCCTAACGTAGTAAATTCTAAATGGCGTATCCATGGAATTTACATAGGAGCTGATTCACCAAATCTCTAGTGATCCAATGGGCCTACTCTGGTTCTAATTTACTATGATAATCAACAGAATTTTAGCCACTTTGTAAAACATTTCATTTCTAAAACATGAGCAGTGGAAAATGTTCAAACCCCCATTACCAGGTTTAGCCATTACCCATGACGATTATTTCCAGCAGCAGCCAGCAAAGGCACAGATGACTGAAGTGGTATTTCCCTGTCTTATCCAGTTTGGCCAGAAATGTTATTCTCTTACAACATAAGCACCTTCTTGCACACTTACATAAAACTGCAATTTTACATTTATCTGTAAGTACATGCCACGCAGAGTAGACTACCTGTCTAGATAGGTGGGGTATAAATCTAATAAAATAAATAAATAAATAAAAATACATATAAAAACATCTCAACCCATTTTCCCTGAAGCCATGTCAATAATAAGTACACACTCTTGTAAATATCACAGTATCAGGAAGAGTATACATAATGGTGCTCTGGAAAAGAGAACCAGTATAAAACCAATAAACAAAATTAGTATGCACACAATATATACATTGCATGCAATATCTACATCTACAGGCCTTCCCTACAGCCAGCACTTAGCCTATCTTTCCTTTTTTCCATCTTGGATTCAGCTGTTAATTTGAGTTTTATTCTTAGTACATTTATACGTTCACTATTTTTTATATTTTGTGTAAACCGCCCAGAGTACACGTTCTAGATGGGCGGTATACAAGTTTAATAAAATTAACGTTTAAAAATACACAGGTATTTATTCATTCATTCATTCATTTATTCATTCATTCATTCATTCATTCATTTATGTGATTTATTTATTTGATTTATATCCCGCCCATCTGCTATATTCTACCACTCTGGGCGGCTACCAACAACATAAATACATTAACACAAAATCATTGGTCTGATCAATAACAGAAACAGGTAAAGAACTGAAACACACAGTAGACTAACCTAAGCCCTGAGGACCTGTAGAAACAAAGGTATCTTCCACAAGTAATTAAAGTACAGGCTGTAGGTGAAGTTCTAGGATCAGGAAGAGGATAACCTGGCATAGGAATTGCCACCATGCTGTATGTGCTGCTCTGAACAATCACAGCTCAGTCCTCTTGAGCACTAAGTTGAAAATCTAAGCCACAGCAGAAAAAGGTTTGACCATAACATGGACTTAGACTATAGATAAGGCAAACATGTTACAGGTGGGTTCAATAAAAGCTGTAAGAATTGCACAGCAATCCTATATCTTTTGTGTCACAATGTTCAACAAAGCTTACTGCCAGAGAAGTTAAATAGCCATTACTATTCACCACTTATTAATGCAGAAATTTTAAAATATGAAAGTACATTTTGTCACACAAAACTTCATTCTTTCATATAAATTCAGATTTAACAGATGGAAATGATAGGATTTAATGTTGGGCAAAACCCTTAACTTACCTGTGTAGTTTGGAATGGGAACTTTGAAAGGTTTCGACAAAATACTCCGTATAAAGGCTTCCTGGAATTTTAAAGTATGAAATATTCATTAGTTGACCATTAAAGACTGATAATTCAGGCTGATCAATAAGTAAGCTTGAAAATATGTTACACTAAGGTACTCCCAAGTAAATGTATTTGGGGTTAAATAAAAGATGCTAGCTGTGTTATATTTAAAAACACAGATGGAGGTCTTCTGTGTACATTCAGTAGAATTATGGCTTATTCAAAGATTTAGAAACCAATAATGAGTCCAAATATTTCTTCATTAAAATATACAGGACAGTCCAATATATGATGTGAAAAGAGCCCATTTACACAACAGATTGTTTGCCATCATCTTCTTTCATAATCTAAGGACTATGAAATAAAATATCACTATCTATACTTCTTAACTGAGGCAGCAATGCATTAGGACATCACTCCTCCTCTTGATTCTGGTCCAAACGAATTAGGCTCTTTATTGACAGCTATAGGCAGAGGAAGAAATGTCCTTACAGTCTGCAGGAAACTTGTGAGGATGTGAATCAGTGGTCCCCAACCTTGGGCCTCCTGATGTTCTTGGACTGCAACTCCCAGAAATCTTGGCCAGCAGAGGTGGTGGTGAAGGCTTCTGGGAGTTTTAGTCCAAGAACATCAGGAGGCCCAAAGTTGGGAACACTGTTCTAGATCATAGTTTCAACTGTGAGGTGGTGAAGACTTCTGGGAGTTGTAGTCAGAGAACATCAGGAGGCCCAAGGTTGGGACCACTGTTCTAGATCATAGTTTCAAGTCTGGGACATAATGATAATGTGAGCTCATCTACAAAGCAGTCGTTATACCCACCAAAGCCACCAGTAGAATTTTTACTGCATCTTGCATAACTATAGTATTTCCAAGAAAGTGAATTGTGCAGAGCCTTATAATGAAAAACAAAGAAATCACTTACATGTTTGCTGGCATCAAGGTAATGAGGTCTATTGGTCAGCTGAGCCAAAGGTTTCCGGAAAGTTGACATATAGCACTCCCTATCATCTGCCTTGCTGCCATGTTTGTGCCTTTTTGAAGTCTAGAAATGGGAAGAAACATTGCATGAAGATTTTGAAAACCCACAGATATATCAATATATATACCGTCATACCAACTGAGCTACCCTGCTTTGTGTATTCAATCCATTTGCTACAATCCATTTGCTACTGTGCTGTCAGTGCCACACACCCTAGCAGAGCTTCAAAGGCAATTACTAATCATTGTTCATTCCTGACAGAAGCAAAATGCTCAGTATAATATACAACCTACCCCATTCTCTTACGATCAGGCTTGAAGCACTGTTTAGACATGGAGCAACCGGAGAAATACAAGTAAGAAGAGAATGCAAAAATTGGATTGTTTCAACTCCCAAGCCTGTCAGAAGAAAGGGCTATTGGCTAACTCTGTCCCTTAGACATATTAATTAGGTTTGCATTTGCACCAAGGAAACTTCAGTCTTCAATCCCTGTTTGCACACGAGGCTTATGCATATCATCCTGAGCTTCTCAAGCTGAGAAGAAATAAGAATGTTTTAAAATGTCAGTTTCCAATAGATGCTAGTGGAAGTGTATAATTAATCTTTTGTAAAATGAGCAACTAAGGCTATAATTTGACAGATATCCAACGCTACGAACCTGTACACAGACCATATATAGAAGTAAACCCCACTGAACTCAGCAAGACTTCGCTTCAAGAAAACATATAATAATAAGATTGTGATAGCACTTAAGTAATAATCTAATTATATTAAGGTTACATTAGCATAAGCATTCTCCACATGAAAAGGCTAACACATAGATCTGCCTAGAGTGTCAAGAAAGGATCACTGGGCAGAAAGGCTTGAAGGTTAGAAAATGTCAACAAAATGTTTCTGGTTCCACCTGGATTCAACAGCCACCAAATAAATGCAAGTGATTCAACTACACAATTATATTTCCACACAAAGAAACAAACTTACTCCCAGATGAAACAGATATCAACTATCAGAAAAAAACACAGCATTTGTAATGGCTTGGCCTTACTACAAGCAAGATAGCAAAGACCTTTAAAAATATAACAGTTATGCACATAACACACCCCTTCGTATGTTCAATGTGCTAGGCAATGAGCAAATGGAACACCTAATACAAGACTATTATCATTAATAGTCATAATCCTCTTGACTTTTTATACCATCAGAATGCAATTGCCTCAACTTAAGATATTAGCATAGGCATTTGCTGTTGTGCACTATGTCATACAACTTGGCACACTACAGTAAGTGCCTGTGCTAACTTTTTATTTTGTTGCTATTCACCAACAAGATTTACACCAATTGTGTTACGCCTTTGGGTGTTAACTAGCAGAATTTTGGCCAATTATAATTAACTCTTATATAACACATGCATTATAGTCTGAAAATGGGAAAGACAGCACAGTTTATAACAGCATATTAACAACCACTACTAACTATAGTTAATTCTAATTATGATTTTGATAAAATGAACATAGTTACTTGGAAGCACTCATACCCAGCAGCTACTCTACATGGCTGTTTATCATAGGGCTGGAGCGAAAAGAAAATGGCATTTTGTTTCTGGTAACATCAACCTAAGCTCAAGTAGTTAATTTCTGGGGAGACATCTTTACTGAGAAAGCAATTTCCAGGAACTCACATGTGAAGGCTCCTTGTTGGGAGGGGAACAAAGAGCACGGAGGAGCTTTACCTGTCATAAAGCGCCTGAACTAGGATAGACATCCCACATTAGCTATTTGGTTTAACTCTTTCCTCTCTGTAACTATTGCCTATGGAAACTGTGGTTCTCCAAGTGACTGGCACTAGAACTCCTATTATCCCTCACCAAAGATTTTTCTGGCTAGAGCTGATGAAAGTTGGAGTCCAACATCATCGGAAGGGAGCCCAGTAACATCAGTGTGTTGACAAACCCTAACTGATCCCTCAAAAGATCCCAAGGAAAATTCTACAGTTTGAACCCATCTTGAAATTAATTAAGTCAGAGCTGATGGCTGGATGACAATCTGGCTGGGAACCCCCGTAGGTGCCACCTTGACTTCCTTTATAAAAGAAATGCAAGATACAAGTGCATTCAATAAAGGGTAGACAAGATGCTCACAACTTCAGGACACCACTCCTCATCCTCCTCAGAGCCATCACCTCCAGGCTTCCTCTTGGCCAGCTGGCTAGGAGCCAGGCTTCTCCTCTACAAATGAAGAAAGGGAGAACAATACACCATGTTACACATTAAAGGAAATTTAAATTTTCAATACATCATGGGTGCATTAAAAGTCTGAAATATGTGGGATGAATTCAGATTACTTTGAAAGGGTTAGCCACATTAGTGTGCTGCATCAAAGCCAACAAAGGATCCTGTATTATAATGGTTCCCAACCTTGCACCCACCAGATGCTTTTGGACTAAAACTCTCAAAAGTCTTCCTGGGCTAGCCAGGATTTCTGGGAGTTGTAGTCCAAGAACATCTGGGGACCTAAAGTTGGGAGCCACTGTATTATAGCATAGCATATATTTTTCTGGACTATAGCCCACTCCATCAGTCTTGAACAGTCGCCCAGACTTTCAGGTAAACATATAAGTATGGCTAATTCCATCATCACCATACTATTCACTCCATAGGCCATGTGAACTACATGCACCAGGAGCCCAATAAACATCCAAGGAAAGGGGTTACTGTTCAAGAAAATTCGTGCCATCATAAATATGTTGTTTTTTAAGGTGCCACGAGACTCCTAGTCCTATATTTTAATGGCATTATGATGAAGAGGTTTTAAAGAGGCAAAAAGTATGTGCAATGATGATGGAACCCACCCCGCTTACCATTTCCTCCCCGCATTTTCTCCCCAGCGAAGTATTTTCCATCTGTGCCCAAAGTTCAGAGACGCTTGGAGGAGTTCAAGAGAACGGCAATGCTCGGCAAAGTCGGGGACAATTCAGACCAACAGAAATGGAAGAGCGACGAACTAGGCTGCAGAGCCAAAGAAGTGCGGGGAGCAGCAGCTTCGTCCGGGGTGGACGAAAGAAGGCGGGTCCTCCCAGGAGGGGGCGGCAGTTAACCCCGGGGCATCCTCCTGGCAGCCCTCGCGCGGCCTCCCAGGCAGTTAAGGCACAATAAGAGGGAGGGGCTCCGGCGCGGAGGGCAGATTGGCCGGACGGCGGCTTCCCCCACCACCACTTGTTTTTTCCCGCGCTAAGATTTCCGAAGATCACGCCCCGCCCCTTGGAGCGAGGCGTATCTAGTCGCGCACCTATCGAGAAGGCTCCCCATCGACCAGCTCTGAGCTCATGTGAGACCTGAGACTACTTCTGCTGCTGGAAGGCTGGTAGCAGTGAGCGAAAGAAGAGGGGCGGTCAGAAGGGAAGCCGCGGAGGGTGAGGCGGGGAGTGATGGGTCCTGCCCGTTCAAAAGACGAGGTGGTCGGAGGTTGAGAGGAGTCAGGGTGGGATCTCCACCTTTGGGCCCCCTTGTTCTCTCCCAGCCTCTGTGAACATAACGTTGGGCAGGTGCCCTGATTTGCGGAGAGGTAGCTTTGTTAAGTCTGTTTGATGTTCAAGAGGACAGATTTATTTCAGGGCCACCTTTCGTTGATTGCAGTCCATGTCCTCTGGCACGTGCTGCCAAAGGGAATGGCAGTACTGTGTTAAAATATGATAACTAAAAATAAATAAGTCAGGGAGTAGCTGGCTTTGGAACTTCGGAGTACTGTCTAATAATAAGTTGCTAGGAGCTGCGTTTTTTTAAAAAAATATAGAATAAAAAGATACATGTGTGAGAGGGCACACGAATGTGAAACGGGAAAAAAGGAATGGTAGTCTTCAAACTGCACAACCTTTTTATTAAGAAACACCAGGATCAAGGAGGAAGAAATTATTGTTCCAACTATAGCAGCCAACCGACATGAGTGTCAGTTGTGTAAAAAAAAGGCCTGTATCGGACACAGAAAACACAACCTTTTAAAAGTTATCACCCAGTGAAATTAAGTAAATTTAAGAGCAAAATAAAGTATAATGTCTTCACACTTGGCACATTTCTATATTTGTTTATTCATTTATGTATGTAAAATATTTATAAATAGATTTTAATGCATTTATAATGCAGAAATAGTGATTTATATGATGAGTAAACTCATTCGTAGCATGTGGACTGCTCAGAAGCATCTTGCAGATAATTGTTGCAAATACACAACATGGCCGTTTCAGCAGGCTTGGGTCAAAATTCAAGACTTGAAATAGCATAGGCTGTACTTGAAGGGGAGGTCACAGAATTATGTTGTTCAGCAGCAGTGAACTCTTCAGTTCTTCTTAGGATCCCCCAAATCACAGAGGTTGGCTACTGGCCAAAGTGGCCAGCGGATTCGGGGAACAGTCCAAAAAACAGCTTTTCCAACAATGCCTTCAAAGATGTTCATCCTCTACTGTTTTCCTTGTCCCATCATTCATATTTGATCTCTTCCTGACCCTTAGTAATACTGAAATCAGAATAAATTATGTACATGAAATTCATGTACACATTTTTGTCTTTTCCCACTTTTGGGGGATTTTGGGTTTCTAGCTGCTGGTTTGTTTTACAGCATTGGTTTCTGATTGCAGAACCACTATTAATACTTAAAGCCGTCAAATAAGCTTCTTCAAATTCAAAAGGACATTTTGTTCTCGCAGAATAAAAGTTCAATCAAATAAGCTCTCCTTATTCCATACGGAAACAGTTCTGAGAGTTTTGCATGAGCATTGGATGTGACACACACCTGAGTCCAATATTGGCAGCTGAAGGATACTTCATTAATTCATTAATCAAGGCTGTTGTCTTGTTAGGCAGTTAAAAAACAGCAGTTGTTTCTGGGAAACATTTTTGCTGTTGTGTTGTTCTGGGGTTCCCTGTGACTCTTGGACTAGCACCTCTCTAGAGTGCCTGGGCAAACAGTGATACTACCAACCTTCTGCAAAAGGAAGAGTTTTACAGATAAACTGCAAAGTGAAAACAATAAAGAGTTCTGTGGCACCATTAAGACTAACCAGTTGTATCTGGCACAAGTTTTCATGGTGTGCAACCCTCTTCTTCAGATGCAGGTGGGTTGGTGTTCATGAAATCTTGTGCCAAATAAAACTTGTTAGTCATAAAGGTGTCACAATATCCTTTGTTCTTTTTCCTGCAACAGACCAACACAGTCATCTCCTCTGCAAAGTAAGATATTTACCAGATGATTTAAAGGCAATGACTTGGCTTCAGACTTCATTGTTTTGTGCCACCTAGACACTTCCTATCTATGGTGACCCTATGAATTAGTGACCTCCAAAATGTCCTATCATCAGCATCCTTGCTCATGGCTGTGGCTTCCTTTATTTCTTTTGGATCCAGATTTACCAGTCCATAAACAGAAAGGTTATTTCTGTTCCTATGAATTAGTGACCTCCAAAATGTCCTAACATCAGCATCCTTGCTCAGTTCTTGGAAACTCAGGGCTGTGGCTTCCTTTATTGAGTCACGCCATCTCTTGGATCCAGATTTGCCAATCCATAAACAGGACGGTTATTTCTGTTGAGAGAAGGGCTAAGATGCAGCAAAAGCTTCTCATTGAAGGAAGGGAGCAGGAAGGCAATCTACTGTTCTTATGGTCCACCACTGCTTGGTAGATTTTCAAGAAGCGCAGGAAGTTTCAGGGGGAAGACAATCTATCAGATGACAGACTGTAACTCTGCAGTCGAATACCTATTTTACATGCAGAAACCCCCACATTTAATTTTTGGTGTTTCTACGGAAGCACATTAAAATTACTGTCTGAAACCCTAAAGCAGTTGCCAGGCAGTGATGATAATCTTGGATTACAGTAGATGGATCAATGGTCTGACTCTGGATAAGGCTATTCTCCCTCTCCACTCATCTGGTATTGGTAGAGCTCTGCCAATTGTTAGGTCTATCCCACTCCTATGTCCTATCACATTCTTCATGGGACTTTCCTCAATTACAGTATCATGTGACATTCACAGAGAAGTTACTTTTCCCCTTGGATGCTGACAAATGCTATTCAAGCAATACCACCTGCTGTGCGGCTTCAGCCTTAAATGAACATGTTTGTAATATGTCCTTGATGCATCTGAAGCTAGGTAAGCTAGGGTTAATGCCAACAGAATGAGGTCATGATCCAAGAGATCTGCCACAACAATGCACCTGCTTGTGGCACTATCCACCAATTATGAAGCTTGAAAAAGCCCCTAAATTAGCTATGCTAATCAAGAGGGGTAATGATGGCAATTCACAACAATGCTGTTCTGCTTCTCCTGGTGTCTCATAGCCCCTAAAGGCCTACAGCAGAATAACAGGAAAGTGCTGGAGTAGCCTCTGCACAACCTTTGCCACCGGTAAAAGTCTGGACCAGTAAGTGCAGCCACTATATGCAACCAGTTCCATGACAGGAATAGACCCATGCATGAAACTCATAAACTGTCTAGAACTAAAATTGGGATTTTGCTGTCAGAGCAATGGCCTCAGCAGAGACAGTACAAAGCGGGGGAAGAGAAAACATTAGCAAGAAAGAGGGAGAGGGGAGGCAGAGCTGGCGCATGCATGGTTTTTATTGAGTAGCATCACTTGTGGGTGATATATGGCAGAGTCACTTTGAAATGATCTTCAAAACCTTTTTTTTGTTCCTGTAACATTCTGGCCCTTGAAAAAGAGATAGTGTTAAAATCAGAGGGTGTGTAATTACAGAATTCAACTAAGCCAGGATTTTGCCTTCTCAGTTTTTCATTTAATTTTGAATTATGATCTCTACCACTCCACTTTAGAAGTCCTTTCCTAGATTTAGTGACTAATACTAGCCATTTCTGTTGCAGGCTCTGTGGGCACAGAGTAGTTATTTATAATGATAATTGGCTATTTCTTTCCCCTGGTGTGAATAATTATTGCATGAATAGTTCTTCGCTCTGTGGTGTGAAGGCAATTTCTTCTCTCTGCTGTTTGGCCTAAATACAGGTCAGTGAAATGTGCAGAGAAGGAACTGGATTTATACTGTACTACATGCTCATGCGGCACTATCCAAATTAAAGTCAGGTGCATGAGTGTATCATGTATTTAACATGTAAGTCCCATAGCAGAAATACAGAAATAGATGATGTGTTACATCATGTGGAGGTAAGATATTCCTGCTTCCTGAACTTTGCATTGGGGTCTTCAGATTTATGTAGAACTTGGAAAAGTTTATTTAGGGGTAGGGTAGAACTCTGAGAATTACAGAACTAGCATGGCCATAATTTGCATAACACTTCATAGACCTAATTGCTTAAATCCCCAAAATGTGAATGCTGCAATTGGCCCAGGCCAAGTGAATATAACTTTAATCCCAGAGCATAAAGCATCATAATAAACACTGAAAAAGGAGGCCTTCCTCTGGTAATGTGTTCTGTACCATTCTTTTCCAGCAATTCCCCTCTGTACTCTACATCAGTGGTCCCCAACCTTGGGCCTCCAGATGTTCTTGGAATACTACTCCCAGAAGCCCTCACCACCACCTCTGCTGGCCAGGATTTCTGGGAGTTGTATTCCAAGAACATCTGGAGGCCCAAGGTTGGGGACCACTGCTCTACATAGAACAAGCATAACAGTAGAGTTTGGGATGTTACAATACTGGTGAAGTATTTCTGAGCACATGGAACATAGAAACAATGTAGAGAAATGAAGTTGGTGGAATTGGAGAAGCTGACGTATTGCAACTATGAAAATACTTCTACCTTGATATTCAAATGAATTTTTATGTGACTGGAAATGATTTGACTGGTTGCATTCTGGAACTAACTCTTAAATGGAATAAATGGCAACTGTGATTAACATAAGCTTCTGATTTTTTCCTGGAAGTCCATAAACTTCTGTAGGGCTCTTCGGGGGTATGTTCAGGCATAAGAATCTGTGACTTGACAGGACAATCTCTACACAAAGGAACTAATAGACATAAATCCGACATCAGGAATGACAACACAAAAAAAAACAGTTTCATAACATTAAAACATGCCTGTTTTATTTTAACTTACAGTGACACTCTTTGAATGACTTTTGGATTGAGAACAATTATAGGATGAGACTTGAAAAAAGCCAAAAGCAAAAGTGTGCTGCTTGTATATTGTCCCATAGTGCTTAAAGCACTTATGGGACAGTTCAATTATGCAGGCTACACATTGCCCCTCCTCCGGT